GGCAAGAATAAAATGATAGAAGCAAAAAAGGCGTGGGTGACAAAAAAGGCGTCTTCATGATAAACTATACTAAGAACTTTTAGGCAGTGTCCAAGCAAAAAGTCGATTTTGAGATTTGATGCTTATCCAGGCCTATCTGCCATGCTGAATCCGAAAATGCACAGTGGAGTGCGCGAAAACGGCGAAAAAAGGCTCTAATGGAGGAGGGAAATCGCAGGTGGGCGGGGCCGCTCACACCGTGACTCTCCCAGGCTTTAGGAGCGATCTTTTCGGTTCCGATTTTATGTCATGCGCTTCGCAGTTAGCTGGTGGTGATGTTAGGGTGACTAGAGGAAGCGGGAAGATCGCTCCTGAAGCTGGGAGAGTGAAGCCACTATGTGAACAGCCCACCTGCAATTTCCCTCCTCCGTTGCAGCCTTTTTATGCCTTTTTCGCGCTCTCCAGTGTTGACTTTCGGATTGTGCATAGCGAATGAGTCCAGGAAAACACAAAATCTCGAAATCGACTTTTTGCTTGGACACTGCCTTTAACACACTATGGGCTGTTCATCGCACGCAGAGGCTAGACGCTCTAGCGTCCGAGAAAGTTCATGTTTCGCAGGAACGCGGGCAATTAAAGAAATGTGAGTTTGATCTCAAAAACGTCTTTCGCAGTAGCGTCTTGTCGCGTGATGGATCTTATGTCTAAAGTTCAATGTCTGTTTGTATGTATGTCTGTCTGTCCGTACGTATGTTCCGAATAGAAAATTCTATTTCTGAACCGCCGCACCAAACTTGGCACACATATAATTCGGGGCGGGGTGGATGTCGTAGGCTACTTTTCGTTATCAATCGATATAGATTTGTCGATTTTTGTCGCTTTTTTGCAAATTATGAGCCACGGGGCTGGGAGTGCACACATTATTGATACAGTATTAATTTTTGACATTATCCATTACTTTTATCTTATATATAAAGTTGAATGTCTGTTTGTCTGTCTGTCTGTCTGTCTGTCTGACTGTATGTGTGGAATAGAAATTTTTATTTCTGAACTGATTGGACCAAACTTGGCCCACATACACATTGGGGCAGGGGGCGTGTCATAGGCTACTTTTCGTTATCAATCGATATCGATTTTATCGATTTTGCAGAGTTCACCTACTGGGAGTTGGCACACAGGGGTAAGTGGGCATGGTGATTCCGAAAACAATATTGGTTTTCAGAATTATCGATTACTCTTACCGATTTTATTGATTTCTTCAAAATTTGAGCTGAAGGGCTGGGAATTGACACAGGGGGGTAGGTGGGCATGGCGATTCCGAATACAATATTAGTTTTTTGAAATCGTCCATTATTTTTATCGATTTTATCGATTTTTTGCAAAGTTTGAGCTACGGGGCTGGGAGTTGGTACAGGGGGTAATCGAGCATGCTGATTACGAGTACAATATTAGTTTTTGAATTCTTGATTACTTTTATCAATCGATTTTTTGCAGAGTTTGAGCTATGGGGCTGGGAGTCAGCACAGTGGTGTAATTGAGCATGCTGATTACGAGTACAATATTAGTTTTTGAATTCTTGATTACTTTTATCATCGATTTTTTGCAGAGTTTGAGCTATGGGGCTGGGAGTCAGCACAGTGGTGTAATTGAGCATGCTGATTACTAACACAGCGGGAATAGGGGATGGGCATGTAGAAGTGGCCCCAGGGAATGTTGTGCAGAGATGAGGGATAGGGATGGGAGCTTTATCATAGTGTTTTGACATGGCCGTGCGGAGCCGGGTAAGCCAGCTAGCTAGTCGTCTACAAAATAAACGTAGAAGAAACAAGAGCGTTGACTTTTGGCTGAAAAAATCTAAGGGCTAGTGAGCAGCAGGTGGAGGCAAACTACGCCCTCGCTATCTCTGATCTCCCACAAACACAACAATAAGCTCACACTCAAACTCAGTACCAGAACTTAGTATCTCTTGCGGAAGTATCTCTTGTACGATGTCATTTGTAGCTCAAAACAAGCACTTGAACATTACGCGCGGTACTCTACAACATATAAGTGCTTAAAACCTGTAATTTTCTAAATTGCGAGGGATTTGCGAGATTGGCCATAACTTCCCAAAAAACGTTTCTGGAGATTTGGCGCAGAATTTAGCTTCGCTGATTACAACTGGGTTGGTTGGCACAGTCTTGCAGCTTCTGCCATAACTTTTTTCTTCTTGATTGTAGCTTTGTTTTACCATCATGTAACTTGCAAAGATTCTAAGACTTCTTAACCTTTCATTTTCAATAGCGCAACAAATAAATTTGAGTATTTCTCAAAAATTGGTGAAATTCGAAGGCTTGCGGGTTTTAAAAAGAAGTGCGGAGCCAGAGGCAGACGTATAAAAACGAAGTTGTAGGCAGCTTTTTTGAAGGTTGTCTTATTAAGCTCAGTAAAAAATTAATTTTAAAATAAACTGAGCTTTGAGAGCTTTAACAAATCGAATAGGTAGATTTGGAGCGACCATTAGCAAAAAAGCAAGAAGATCTAAGAATTTGCTGAAACCTTCGCACAGTGAGGTAATTTGACATGCTGAACATGAACTACAAATGATACCTCGATCTTGAGAAAGAAAGCCTTAAGTGGGTAACGGTTTCATTTTGTAATTGGCATTTCGAAACTCCTTCCCACCCTCCTCCCGGCCAAGTTCCACCAAAGTAAAGCCATCTAAAATGCTCCCCTTTTACCCTACTTTCAGGTGTATAAGCCACACCCTTTTCGCTTTAAAGGCGAACACGCCAAAAGACTGACTGTCGTTATGGAGCGCGTTAAGTGAGAGCAGTATGCGATAAGGCGACCGCTTCGCGAGACATATGCGCGGCGGCACGCCTGGGTCTGCTCTCGTTTAGATCAAGGTGGGTGCGGTTCATACATCTGAAATTAGGGAACAAGTTAGCATGTGTGGCGGCTCGGTGTGATCAGCACCTTGCCTAAAGTGCTCGCCGCAGCTACACCTAACTCCCGCTGTCCCCTACGATGTCGCGCGTCCACCAAGGTTCATGACGCCTTGACGGGCGCTGCCGAGGACTACCCTCTACAGGTATAAACGGCACGGTAAAATAGCGCGTAACGTGGAAAAACAAAAGGACCGACTAGTTTAGACTACATTTATCTACAAAACACAAAAATAAATCACTAATACTACTAGAAATACTAAAATTACTAAAAAAAAATACTACTTCAAATCCATGAGAAACCAAACACGGGACGAGCCGCCTCGTCCCGTGCTACCGAGGCCGATGATGATGAACGATGATGATCAACTTCAAGTAGTTCCGGGCTCTCCGCTGGGTCAACCGCAAGCCCCAAGCCCTTCCGGGACGGTGTGACCCCTCTCCACTCCCGCTAGTGTGCTTCCTGCGCAAGACGAGCCATGACTTTAGCTGCGCGTCTCCAAAACCAAGAAGAGAACAAAGGTTCAACCGCTCGAAACCGATGATCATCTGCGGGAGCTGTTGGAGGCGCTGCCAGCACGAACGAAATCATAAAACGATCAATACGAACGGAAATCGAAGAGGCGTAGACCGCGGCCTGCGCGCCCTTATATACCCTGTGACTTGGCAACGCGCCCAGCAGGAGAGGTCTTGGCGCGATCTTGAAAGCGCGCCAAGTAACGCGATAGCCAGCGCTCCCGGCCTCCTGTTACGAGGAGTGGCTTGCATCGCGAGCCGCGACACTCCCCCCCGAAACAGTGGCTTGGACGTTCGGATGGTGGTTACGTGATAGCGCTGGAGTCCACAACGGAGAACACCTAACCGAGTATAGTCAAAAAAGAAACGTCGCCATCGGCAGCACAGTAGGGGCGCGCGACAAAGAAAAATGAACAACTCGGCCCGTGCAAAAATGCAACACCTTCACAAGGGCGCTATGGCGCTCGAATACTTGATACAGTTCTGCACCAATGCGCACGACGCGCCAACTAAACTATGGATGATAACACAAAATAAAATACAGCTAAGAAGGATGGTAAAAATAGCTGAACGTCCACAGTTAGTGAAGGTGAAACAGACTAATGTATTGATTATTGGGCAGGTAGATGCGGTAGTAGTTGCTGTTGGTGCCATGGAGTTGATTCGGACATGCGCGTTCAGACAACCATCCAACCAGGTGTGCTCAACCAAATGATACAATTCTGTAACACACATTATTTACGAGGTCAAAATCAAACAAAATCGAACCATACATACCGAATCAACTGCCTCCATAGTGATGCTGACGCACTACCTACCCTGGAAGGTCCCAAAATCCTGCGCTCACGTCTGAAATGATGTTACCGAGGCGCGCGAGCGCTTCCTCCCATGCGCGAACGGGGACCAAATACATATAGATGGCAATGAAAAACGTAATCGCGCAGGCTAAAGATGTTAAAAAATGGACTTCAGTCCAGCCTCCCACGACAAGGATGTCAACGCGCGGGCGCCCTCTACGCAAACTGCACAAGGCACAAGGTTAGCAAATACGCGCAGAAAAAAGGATAGCAAGCTCTTTCACTACCTAAGGCGCGTATGCGCAACAATAAATAAAATGCAAAATGCACAAAGTACCTATGCCTAACCTTGGCTGTTCAAAATAACGCGCGCATGCGCTGAAAAATACCTGGCAGTATATACGGCGTAGGAGGTGCTTGACTGGGCTGGGCGAAGTCAGAGTCTGATCCGAGGGAATCCAAATCCGTGGCTGTGGCACTGCAAAAGCTATGCACAGGGAAGTCATAATCGGGTAAAGGAAAAAAGTCATATAAGGGTATAAGCATGTCCATGTAAGCGATCAAGTGAATCGACACCTAGTTTATTCGAAGATCGAACGCTTGACACAAAATTCAATGGATTGAAGTAAAAATATGATAGGCGCGTCCTCGCGCAATACATCATGCTACATACGTACAAAACAAATAGGATAACTAAGCAACAATAAACAACAATGAAATCAACAAATAACAATTAAAACTAACAATAACAACATACGTTTGTAAAATGATGATTTCACTATCATTTTGCCTCCACTGTCCTTGATGGTTGAATCCGTGTCGTTCTACGCTCCTGAGCGTTCGCCTGAAGATCCTCTGTGTCTGCTGCACTGATCTCTAACGGCAGTAGATGATTGAGTGCACGGTCCACTATCTTTCGCTTTCCAATCTTAATTCTGGCTGATCTTACATTGCCGTCGGGTGAGGTGTGTAACTGCAGAATGAGGCCAAGCGGCCATCTAGATCTTGATAAATCCTCTTTTATTAGTACTACGTCTCCTACGCGCGGCGACCTTTTGGTACCGGAGCCCTTCTGAATGCGCGTCGCTTGTCGTTCTGCGAGCGCGGCAAGATATTCCTTGTGCCATATATCCCAGAAATAATCAAGATCGGTCTGCAGGAGCCGGTACTGCGTTTTCAGGGATTCGTAGTTGTCGCGCGATGACGTCTCGATCTTCTGGGGCATACTGTACGTCAGGCGACCTAGTCGGAACTGTGGATTTATCAGATCTATGGGTCTTATCACCAGGTCCGTGTTCAAGTTAGCCGAATTCGCCGGAAATAAGGGTCTCGTGTTAAGAACGGCCTCTATCTCGAGGATAAGCGTCTCAAAAAGCCATAAGTCGAGGGTTTCTCGCCGAACCGTCTTCTTCAAACAGCTCTTCACTGATCCTACCAAACGCTCGTAGAATCCACCTTTCCACGGCGAGTATGGTGTGATAAAAGTCCAATTGATGTTCTGGCTTTCAATGAATCCGTCCACTAGGGAATCTTCTGCTACTTCCTTCAGGCTATTGGTAAGGATCTCCCTTCCTAGCTTGAATGTGGGCGCGTTGTCGCTTATGACGGTGTCAGGAGCTCCTCTACGCGCAATGAATCTTCTGAATGCTAGGAGAAATTGGAAGGTTGGGTTGTCCTTGACTACTTCGAGGTGTAGCGCGCGCGTAGACATGCACGTGAAGAGACAAACCCAAACCTTATGGAGAGTGCCTTGGTGTAGACGGACTGAGATGGGGCCAAAATAGTCGAGTCCGATGTTCTGGAAAGGACGACTTCGAACGACCCGTTCCGGTGGAAGATCTGGTGAACGTGGATATGCGAAAACATGGCCTTGGTAGCGCTTGCACGTCACACATCTAGCGATAGTCGATTTTACCATGCGTTTAAGCCTGGGGATGTAGAACCTCTCGCGTAAGGCTGCGATCAAATGGGAAGTACCGGCGTGGAACAGCTTCTGATGGTAGTGAGCTATTAGCATGGCGCAAAGGGGATGACCTGAGAGTATGAGGATCGGGCTCTTCGCCGTCCCGCTCGTCTCTGCGTTCGCCATACGTAAGTCCACGCGTATCGTACCGTCTCCTTTTTGCCTTGTGCGGAGTTTCTTCAGATGAAAGCCGTGTAACTGCTGAGGAACCTCGCGATAGTGCTCACGTATAACGATCAACTCAGCAGCTGAAAAGTCACCCGGTGTTACAATGGGACTTGCGTTTATTGTGCCGAATAGTGGATACTCGTCGGAATCATCAGCGCTGTGGCGCGTCCTTACTAAACGGCGTAGCTTGGCTACATACTTCAGGACGTAGGCTGTGATACGGACGAGTCGAATATAGGAATTGGTCCGTCTAAACGGTACAAAGGACTGGTAAGGTGCCATGATGGTATTGGCTGAAGTTACTAGTGCTGTGGTCGTCCGTAATTCTTCAGAATCTCCTCCTGCAGGTGGATCGGAAGAAGGGTTGAAGGACTTGCACGGCCAGTCAGCAAACGAAGTCGTAATAAACGATGGACCGCTCCACCAAATGTGGTTTTCGAGCTCTCTAGCTGTGAGTCCACGGGTGGCGCAGTCAGCCGGGTTAGCGTCAGTAGCCAGATAATAAAATCCACAGTCGATGTTGTCAGATTTAAGCTCGTCGAGAACCTGTCGGATGTACTTGACACGGTTGGCGACGTAAGTCTTGAGCAACTTGTTGGAATAAATCCAGTACAGTACTATCGGAGAATCAGTCAGGAATCTGATGGAATTGAAGCGAATCTTGAGCTGGCTTTTCAGGAAACGTACTGTTTTTGCAGCCATGTGGCACGCCAAGAGTTCCATGCGCGGGATGGTGATCGCGCCCGATGGTGCTAACTTTGCCTTAGCAAAGAGTAGAGTGGAACTGGGGCTATAGGTGGACGTGCGCGTCACGACATAGACTGCTACGGCATACACTCGTTTCGACGCGTCTGAACAGATGACGAGATCGTACGCGTTGGCAGATGGATATCCTACGAAACGAGGTAGTCTCAACTGAAAGCCGCTAATTTCCTGAACAATGGTATTCCATTTCTGGGTAGTGCTTTCGTCTAACGGATCGTCCCACGAATAACCGGATTCCCAGAGGTCCTGTATAAACATCTTTGGTCTTATAAGAAGCTGGGTAAGAAGTCCTAGTGGATCGAAGATCGATGCATACGCTTGAAGCGCGGTACGCTTGCTCGACACTTCTTGTCGCGCGATCTCAATAGGCACATGAAGTACATCGAGCTTGGGGTCCCACTTGATCCCTAGGAGCTTCACGAATCGTCCGGGTAAGGTCATACAATCTTTTGGAATCCTAAGCATCGTCTGCTGGTTGTTAGACATGAACTTCCGTAGGTTCATGTGCATGCGACTGAAGATTTCCTTGCACTCCATCTGCTTCGTAAGACACTCCTTGGTGGTATTCGCTCCGATTAGCACGTTATCAACGTACGTGTTGGCAAGAATTTCTTCTTTGAGTCGATTGGCTGGATTCCTCTCGAGGAAATATCTGATGGACATGTTGAGTAGAAACGGTGATGCGTTGATGCCGAAAGGAACGCGCGTGAAACGCAAGATCCGGAGATTCTCGGTCGACGGAGGTTGGTGGACATCTCTCAACCACAGAAATCTGGTGCAGTCCCTCTGATCCTGGTGTAAGTGGATCTGGTGGAAGGCTTTCTCTACGTCGGCGATCATCAGATAACAATGTAGACGGCTACGCAACAGGGTTCCTACAAGATCGGGTATTAAGGAGGGTCCTTGATGCAGACAATCGTTCAAACTGGGATGTCCTTTCTGATGGCTCGAGGCATCAAAGACTATACGAAGCTTGGTGGTCTGGCTATCCTCCTTATAGACTGCCTGGTGTGGGATGTAATACGTGTTAGGACTCGTAGGGGGCAAATCCGTAACATCCTCGATCACGCCTGATCGTAACTGACGATCGAAGGTGTGGCAGTACTCGCTCCACGCTGATGGTACTGCATGGAGCCTCTCGTACTGGCTCTCTAAGCGACGGAAGGCGAGAGCCTTGTTATCTGCCAAAGGAGGATGCTGGGATTTCCACGGGAATGCTACGTAGATGGAACCGTCGATTATCCTAACACTATCGTAGAACTGCCTGATCACGTCGGCATCTGTTGCATCTGAATCGTCTAATCCAAGTGTGTCTAGGCCGAGGAGACTTCGTAAAAGCTGTTCCGTTCCTGGCGCGTCATCGTTGAGTAGAGTCGTTGCCGAGCTAGCAATCTCCGATACTACTGGATAACTGAGACCTGATAGTACTGGTCCAAAGCGAGTGTGCGACAGAATGAGGCCTGATGGAAGCTTCTCATTCCTATGCAAATCCACAACGCGCCAGTAGTTATCTATTCCAATGAGTACGTCGACTTCGACTCTATCGTCCATATAGGTGTTGTTCGTCTCATCCAAGTTGTTCGTCTTCGGAACCGTTGAGATGGTATCGCGCGTCCAAAGCTGAAGTTGGATTGGACGATCGAGCTGGTCCCATAACGTGAGTGTGACTTCTGACGAGTCTTCAGTGAACTGGTGTCCTCCGAAAGTCAGAGTCGTGACAGTCCTTGTATTCTTAAAAGTCAGGCCGAGATGGTAGGCCAGCGAAGTACAGATGAAACTATACTGCGAATTGCTATCGAGGAAAACAGTAAGCAGTTCGTCCGTACTAGTTTTAAGATTCCGGGTTATAGCATGAACCACCATTAGACGAGGAACCTGAGTTGTAGAAACAGCTTGGCACACAGACGTACAAGATGAAGGTGGGTGTGGCCCTAAGCTAGCTTCATGTTGGTCGGGCAACTCTATGGGCTCATCTGACTGGATGGAATCATGCGCGACTGGAGTGCAGGTGGACGTTTGCACAGCGGGAAACGCGCTTGAAGATCTTCGAGGAAGAGTAGCGCGTCTAGAGTTGGAACGTGACTGACGCCTAGATGGAGATGGCGGTCTGAGAGTAGGTCGACGCGAAGGAGAAGTGCGCGGACTCGCGTTCTGGGTGCGAGGTGGTGAAGGGTGCGCTATCGTCTCAAACTGTAGGCGTCTAGGTGAAGGAGTGCGCTGACGGAATTGCGCAGGTGGGTAGGACGAATAGGGCGCTGATGGTAATGTAGCACACAAAGCTGGATGGTGTAATCTGCCACAGTATCTGCACGCTGGGGCTCTGCAGATGTTGAACGTGTGACCTTCTTCGAGACACAGCCAACACAGTCCATACTGGTTGACGAGCTCTCTCCTCTGTTGCACGTCGGACACTGTCTTAAAGGCACCGTCCACCCAGATTCTCGACTCCCATGTTTTTGTCGTTTTAGGGCCTTCTCATGTCCCTGATTCCGAATATGAAGTCCAGAATGCGCGAAAACCCCGACAATCCCCGTTTCGGAGAACCAACAGGCCGGCTTTCCGCAACGGTGATTGGATGTGCGCGCACAAATGGGCGGGCATGGATGGGGGAGGGCGGGCATGGATTGGGGTCCTCGTGCATCTTCGCTATTCTGAAGCGATTTTCTCGCTTCCGAAGCGGCATTTTGCGCCGCGACTTGGGCATTGGATTGATAGGGGGCCCTACTATCATATGCTGCCAAAAGCTCAACACCCTCAACTCAGCGTGGACGGTGCCTTTAAACACTCCGAAGGATGTCCTTGACGGAAACAGAAGGCACACCGAGGCTCCCATGATGTAGTGTACTGGGGTCTGACAGGGCTACGAGATGTGCGCCGTGGGTAATAAGGAGTCGGAGGTCTATAAGTGACGTCACGGTATCTGGGTGATGGTGAGCGCGAGCTACGCGCGTAACGTGGGTAAGCTGGTTGTTGCTGATACGATGGATACCTCATGTACGGCTGACTCGTGCCGGGATACCTATACGGGGAAGGAGAATGCTGACGAACTGTGGAATCCGAGTTGTAAGCGCGATGACCTGCTGGATCGGAGTCCTCTACCACTTGCAGTCTATCAATGACCGTGCTGAGAGCTGACAACAGCTCGTCCACTGTCCACATAGTGTCACTTTTGCCTTTCAGTTCGCCAACTTTCTCGCGTGTACGCCAGGGAAACTTAGATCGGATTGTTCTCAACGTAGCGATCGAGCTGGAATCCTCGTTCAACTCCTTCATCTGGTACCAAGTTGCCTGAAGCGCGCAAAGTGTAGCGCGTTGCGAAATTGCAGAGTCTGACGCCGGTGACTGCTGCGACAACTTGTCCCACAATCGACTTCTCAGAATCTCAGGACGATCGTACGTACTCAGAATGGTGCGTACTGTAGTGTCGTAATTCTTCGCCGTTGGTTTGAAGCCTGCGATAATCCGAGCAGCATCTCCTCTAAGGACCAACTTCAAGTACATGAACTTGACTGCTGGCGGCACGGTGTTGTTATTATGCACGGCTGTAGAAAAGATGTCCCAAAACTCGGAGAATGCCTCGATATCGCCGCTGAAGGTTGGGATCTCGTAAGAAGGCAACTTCACAGGTTGCTCCAAGGGCAAAAAGGGGTTAAGGGATGAAGAGGATGAGGCTTGAAGGTCATGCGAAAAAGGATTTGGCAGAGAATTTGGAAGCCCAGATGGGGATTGCGAAAAGTGGGTGGGATTCGAGGGAGGGTTACCCGAGGGGAAGCCAAATCCGCCCGAGGGATGCGCGCCAGTATGGCTCGCAGGGGGACGCTGGTCAACAGGCGCTTTTGGGTCAGATGGACGACCATGGTGCGACGGAGAATGGCTGCGCACTTCCACTTCCGCCTGATGCGCGTGCTGAGGGGTTGGCGCAGAATCTTGGGTAGTATGGGGCGGGGAATTGCGCGGCAAGGATGGAGCAACAGATGGAACAGAAGACTGGAGGCCTCTCAAAATAGGAAGAAGTCTGATCGCCGAATCCAAGCGAACAAGAAGAGCATCCGCTTCCTCTAGAAGATCATCCATCCCACCGGTTTCCCAATGAGCATGGATGTCGGAGAGGAAAGGGAACTCTCCACGCTCGTCAGGATTCTGCCGAGCAAACTCTTCGGCTTTCTCCAACTGGCCACGTAGGGCAGAGGCAGCACGACTAATAGAAGAAAATGAAAGAGAAAAAGAATTCAAACGATTGAAAACTAAATGTGGATCTTTACTCGCCTCCGAAGCAAAGTCCACAAGATCGAGGTTGGCCTGATCAACTTCCGCGATCTTCTTGCGTAGTGAGTTAGCGGCCTTCGTAAGTTGGGCTTTTTGCGAACCAAGTTGCGACATTACCTGGAACATAAAAAAGCAGAAACGCAATATCAAAAATACAACGAGAAAAGCGAGTAGAAACTACAACTACAACCCCCCAAGATAAATATGAAGTGAGTACATGTAGAAAACCGGCCCAACCTAAACCGTGCGCCAAAGCAAAAGGAATGGGGTAGTCCAACGGCAGTAGGGAGAATGAGGGCGCAAGACAAGCAGTTACGACAACGCGTTCGTCTAAGAGCCTAGCGCGGCATCTAAGTGAAACGCGTGTAGCAGAACTAGCAGAGCAAGTAACCGACCGGAGGCCAGTGTAGACACTGTAGGAGGCTCCAGCTTGGCGACCTGGAGGGGTTCGCTGAACCCATGGGCGAGTGAACCGCCAAATGCCTACTAAACCTAAGGAGTATACCTTACCTAAACTGAAGAAGTATGAATTGCCTACCTATTTGCCGCGCTTTTATCTACCTTACCTAAGTACCTTACCTACCTATATTATCTAAAGTACCTTACCTACCTATCCGCGCGGCCTAACCTAGATGCCTTACCTACCTATCCTAGCTTGAACCCCAATAAAGTATACCCTCAACTAACCCACCTAAAAACCAAACTTAGCCCTGTTAACCTAACCCATCCCCCCGATCCTAAACCCCCTCACCTACCTAAAGAGAACCCAGTTACCCTCCTAAACCTAGCTAAAAACCCTGCCCCCTTAACCTAAGCCGCCTTATCCCACCTAATCCCCCTTACCTAGATTGTGCCCTATACCTAAGCCAAATCCTTGCTAACCTATCCTAGACCCCCTTACCTAGCCCGAACACCCAGTTACCTATCCCCGGTTCACTCTCCTGTTAAGGACGGCGCCGTGTGTGCCTCGCCATGATCCGCGCGTCCGAAATCCGTCCATCCTTGAAACCTGAAAAAACCTATTCCACTTACCTGCCTTATCCTTTGTTGAAACTCGACACTATTGCAGCTGCTGGTCCTTGGTCGAGCCCGCCAATGACGACGCTGGCCCGTCACTCCTACAGCCTCTCTGGCGCGGTGGCTGACCAGGAATCGAGTGAGTCCACGCGCTGAGCTCGGGGGTTAGTTGGCAAGCTGCCACCTTACCACTACCCCACGCGCTGCCCACGATATTAGCCTGGCTAGCCTCTGTAGTCCACTACTGGCTACGAAGACGAAAGGCGCGTCTCCCTGCTTGCCTGGATCTTTTTACTAGGTGCTGAACGTGGTAGACACAGGATTCGTTACGCACGCATGGAGGATGGGATAACTTAGCGCAAAAAAGCTACCTAAACCCTTACCTAAGCCGCTGATGTTACCTGCCTAGCCGCAACCTGGGCGCGCGGCTACCCATCTCCATACGCGGGGCGGCAAAACCGCCATCCACCATGCGCTCGGCGTCGATGCACCATGTGGCGGCTCGGTGTGATCAGCACCTTGCCTAAAGTGCTCGCCGCAGCTACACCTAACTCCCGCTGTCCCCTACGATGTCGCGCGTCCACCAAGGTTCATGACGCCTTGACGGGCGCTGCCGAGGACTACCCTCTACAGGTATAAACGGCACGGTAAAATAGCGCGTAACGTGGAAAAACAAAAGGACCGACTAGTTTAGACTACATTTATCTACAAAACACAAAAATAAATCACTAATACTACTAGAAATACTAAAATTACTAAAAAAAATACTACTTCAAATCCATGAGAAACCAAACACGGGACGAGCCGCCTCGTCCCGTGCTACCGAGGCCGATGATGATGACGATGATGATCAACTTCAAGTAGTTCCGGGCTCTCCACTGGGTCAACCGCAAGCCCCAAGCCCTTCCGGGACGGTGTGACCCCTCTCCACTCCCGCTAGTGTGCTTCCTGCGCAAGACGAGCCATGACTTTAGCTGCGCGTCTCCAAAACCAAGAAGAGAACAAAGGCTCAACCGCTCGAAACCGATGATCATCTGCGGGAGCTGTTGGAGGCGCTGCCAGCACGAACGAAATCATAAAACGATCAACACGAACGGAAATCGAAGAGGCGTAGACCGCGGCCTGCGCGCCCTTATATACCCTGTGACTTGGCAACGCGCCCAGCAGGAGAGGTCTTGGCGCGATCTTGAAAGCGCGCCAAGTAACGCGATAGCCAGCGCTCCCGGCCTCCTGTTACGAGGAGTGGCTTGCATCGCGAGCCGCGACAGCATGGCCATTACTCGCACGGTTTGGAAAAATGCCTGCATTTATTTACATCACAATCTCTACGATAACGAGAATGAGAGCGCAACATATAAGAAGACAAAATTTATTTAAAAGTGCATTACTTGTCCACCAACGGACATCGGTAGCCTCCAGATCGCACCGGTTGCCGCTTTTGCAGCCGAAGCGCGCTAGGTCAGATTTTGCCTATGTGACGCGTAAGGGGGAGGGGAGGGGGGCGAGCTGCTTCGCGACATTTGCAGGCTTTTTCAATTCTGTCGTTATTATTTGCTGTAAAGGTTTTTGCTTTGTTGTAATAAACACCTCCGTTGCAAGTGTTCATTCTATCTGCTCCGTAGAGTGGTCAAGTCATTTCGAAGGTTTTCTTATGATCTACATCCCACCACGGAGATATTCGTTGATGCCAAAGCGAGCGAAGTAGTGCTAGACAGAGTTGTTATATGGAGCTTTCGTCTTCAGGCATTTTTCTTTCATACTAGTTGACCGACTTCTTCAAGAAACGATGTTTTTTTGGTTATTCATGTTCGAAACTAGGCTAATATCTAGATTGAGCCACATTTTGCAAAACGATCCTTTTTTGACTCAAATTTTGTTCCAGCGATGTTGAATGAGCGATTTGATTGTCAGGTAGTTTTCATATCTTTTCCGTTTTGAGGCTTGTCTACTGTCTGGCGGTAAGTGATGTTACAAAATGATTTCTTTACTCTTCTGTAATAGACAAGCCACAGAACGGAAAAACATCAAAATGACTCCGCTTCGAGAGAAATGGTTCACTCAGCATAGCAAAATATTAGGTTGTCAAGAAAATAATGTCGTTTTTTTCGGGTTTTTTCGTGTAAAATTGATATTACTCGAGAACTAGAGCATATCCAAGGCCGAAATTTTATGGTGAAAGTTACAAAGGTTTGTAGTATACAAAGGCATATGTGGGAGGAGCCCAGTACTACTGGGGGCGGAGTCTGCCATTTTTCATTTTTCAATTTTTTCTTGGTTTATAAGCATGGAAAAAATATAGCAAGTATACCTATGGATAAATGCATGTGTCCTTTACAATCAGGAGCAAGTAAAAGGTTCGCAGGATTTTCTAGGGCGCAAATCCAATTTTTTCCACCACGAGTTGCTCGTATGTTTTGGCTCTGAACTTTTCGTAAACAACAAGTTCTGCCAATGGTCGGATGTCGTCTTGTAGAGCTTCTCTTCCTCTGTCGAATGGTACCCCTCACATAGTTTTTTGGATTTGTCTTATGGCTTTGCTATGAAAAACGACATTATTTTCTTGACAACCTAATAGAATCAAAAGCAGTAATGTCAAGATTTCGTTCCACGATGTTATCGCTCCTACAGTATAGTGGAACATCTTCAAAAAAAAAGAGTGAAAAACATTGTTCTGCAACGACATCGCTCATCCAGCATAGTAGACAAGCCTCAAGATGAAAAGGTTTAGAAAGCCCTTAATTCGCATTTTCAAAAACGAAAATTGGATTGAAGAGACTATGTTTCCACTGGTGTAGATATCACTCTGGTTACTCATGTTCGAAACTATAAGAACAACTTTCAAACTAAAGTCAAATTCCAGAAAAACCACTTTTTTGATGAAATCAAAAAAGAGAATGAAAACTAAATGCAAAACTTCGTTTAGCACTATTTCGCTCATTTTGGCATAAAGTAGCTTGTAACGGAAATATCTTTAAAGAAAATCTTCGCGGTGATCGGCTACCACTCCAGCATCGTAGGGCAGCGAAAAAACTGGAAACCAGTTTATATGAAAAGCATCTTCAACAGCAATCTTATATATAAAGTTGAATGTCTGTTTGTCTGTCTGTCTGTCTGTCTGTCTGACTGTATGTGCGGAATAGAAATTTTTATTTCTGAACTGATTGGACCAAACTTGGCCCACATACACATTGGGGCAGGGGGCGTGTCATAGGCTACTTTTCGTTATCAATCGATATCGATTTTATCGATTTTGCAGAGTTCACCTACTGGGAGTTGGCACACAGGGGTAAGTGGGCATGGTGATTCCGAAAACAATATTGGTTTTCAGAATTATCGATTACTCTTACCGATTTTATTGATTTCTTCAAAATTTGAGCTGAAGGGCTGGGAATTGGCACAGGGGGGTAGGTGGGCATGGCGATTCCGAATACAATATTAGTTTTTTGAAATCGTCCATTATTTTTATCGATTTTATCTATTTTTTGCAAAGTTTGAGCTACAGGGCTGGGAGTTGGCACAGGGGGGGGGGTAAGTGGGCATGCTAAACAACATAGGGAACGGGAAATGAAGTTTAGAAGTGGGCACAGGGGAAGGCTGTACAGGGATAGGGATGGGAGCTTTACAGTGTTTTGACAGGGCCGAGCGGAGCCGGGTAAGCAAGCTAGTGTTCATTACAAAGCAGAAGAGAACCTTCAAAACGAAAGGAGAGCGACAAAGTATCACAAAACCCTGTAAGTATCCCATTAGCGCAAGTAAGTCCTTCATGCGCACCCCATGGGCGAATTCTGCCCTAACGCGCTTCGGCTACAAAAGCGGAAACCGGCGCGGTTTGGAGGCCTCCTAGCTGGGGACAGCTGTTCCTAGCCGGAAATGGCTCAGTGCACAATTCGCGAATTTTGGAAACCCGCAAACTTCGCTAATGAGCGTAATGCAGCGATACCTGCGCTAGGTTAGTGCAGTAGTTTTTGCGTAAATCAAAGAAATTCAGTAACTTTTGGAATCCTAAACTTAGTACACAGGTTTATGTTTTTGTATACATAAAGCAGAAAGTTTTGCACTTCAGGCCGTCATCTGCTTTTCATAAGCTAGCCTTATAG